GTCCATAAAACCTCCATTATCGCTTTTTTGAGGCGATTTAGCTTCTCCGCTCGCTCCTGCGCTAACATGCATTTATTGTGATGACAGCGCTGGTTTCGGCGTAGGCAGCATGGGCTTGTTTAATCTATTGGAGTTCAAGATATCTAAACAAGGGTGCACTGTATAAGTAATATGCAAAACTGGTGATTACGCGAAACGGTTTAATCTGCTACACTACTATCGCCACGTGCGTTACCTACGGTTCCCCTGTACACATTCAACATTCGCCTCGTTCACATTTAGTCAGTGTACACCAACCGTACTCCAGCATCTGCTGTGCCCAGTAGTCGCTGCGCCCCAAGAGCCGCGCAGTTTTAACACAATGTACAAATAACCTTTCGTGAGCTATTTGTGATATCGTAGGGAATCACGAGGCTGCTAACGAGAAATTAAAGCAAAGACACGCCGATAGGGCGTGCAGTATTTATGATTTTAATCAAGTAGTCATAGAACTGAAGCTGCTACGTTTTATTGTTGATCTAATTATGTTCTTCTCAAAGCAGTCACGGTGGATAAACATTGCTATTTGCAGCAAAAGACATCATGCACACACGTGGAGGTATCTCGAACATTTCGGCGCACACCGAACATGTAGCAGGATATAAAGATGATGCTACATCATGCTACATTTACGATATGGTTGCTTAACCTACATTCACACGAAGTAATGACGTTCTTATCGTAAAGTTGACGCTTAGTAGTATGTCGGCGATAAAAAGGTGTAGAGATAAGGCTAAATAGATACTAAAGATTGATCGGGCACAGCCATATAATCTGGGAATCTGTAACGGGTACCTCGCTGACACTAGTAGAATGGATTTGCTTACCTTCGTTAACGACATGTAAGCAGGTGTAACGTATTCTCAAAGTACACCTGTCTGCGAAGAATACGGCTAAACTTACGCCAAGACGGGAGTCAAAGTTAAAGAGAAGTGAAAAAATGCAGCTTTGCTACTGACAATAATGTATGTAAACCTTTCTTACCTATATACCAATACAAATAAAGCGTGGGGCTTTTCTCGAACCACCCATTGCGCGCGTCCATCTATAGTTAGATGCTTTGTTGGTTGATATTGTGGCCTATACCAGCCAATGAGCAAATTTCACTGAATCTTACCCATTCTCGTAACATTTACGAATACTATCGGTCAGAAAATTTTAACATGCTACATTTATGAGATTCGATATTGGGGTCATATCGTTCCATTTACACCTCTTGATATCATACTGAGCAACATGTTTGTTTCGATTGAAAATTTGATTTATGCATGTGATCTCGAGTATGTGTGCATTCCTTTGGATAATTTACATCACAGGTGTATTGATCCATACTGATTGTCATCGCGCTTTTCGATTAAATTATATTGTGGTCCAATTTTTATCATCGTGTGGTGCACTTTCTATGTCTAATTAGGACCAAACGATACACCAGATGCTTGCGGAATGTAAAAAAATTGGCTTACAATATGAGAAAATAAGAAATGCGCCAAAAATAGTTTACCTAAAACAGCACTTCTGATTCATACCTACGACTGGAATTACGCATGCTCGTGGTCATTGATACGCGTATATCTCCTCTAATTTTTCTATTTTCTCATTATCGTAAAAATCTACATTTACATAGTCAACATTCGTATTGCGCGAAGGAAAGGTGGGCGTCGATGCTTCAAGCGTAGCCTAACATTGTATATCGTTGTAGCGTAAGACCATGTTGTTTTTCACTTTCATCAATCTTTAATAGCTTGACATTGCAAATATTTGTATCCATCGTCTCGGCGAATTCGTGTAGTGTGGAGGAGATGAGATAGTGCCATTTCCATTTGGCGCACAAAACGATATGTAAGGTGTTTTTGTTTACGGCCCGAGGCAGCATGAGATGACGTGTAGACCAGAGACATTCATTACGACAAGATTTCGGAGAGATGACGGAATTACTTTGATGCTCTTGCATGTTCTCTCGCTATTCGTGTGGGTGCATACGGAATACATCACGTACAAAAATATGCAATGCTGATAAGACTTAATGATCCTCACCGATAAATACCTTCTCTTAATAGTTGTGGTGTCGGTGTTGATAGGAATGTTTTAGTGCGGATGCTGCAACGATGGACATGGTTGCCTATCGTGCAGGAGAAATTGCATAGAGCGTAGCAGCTCGGTCCTCTATATGGAACATGTAGCACAAAGTACTGAAACATCAATTGTGATATACGTTCTCAACAAAGTCGCTCAACATATGAGAAAATTTTAATCGTGATGCTCGCATCGACAAGTTTATCAAGCCTATGGCTTAAGTACCGGTACGTAAATTTATGCGACTACTTTATATAAAAGGCAGATATGGCACCTTTCAAAGCTGAAAACGCAAATCAGCGATATGCTACAACACTTTCACATAAATCATAAAAAATATCGAGGTCGAATTTGTGATCTCATGCACCTGTATATCCGAAATACCAGCATACATCAAGGGTCCATTTTTCTTTTGTGGTCGATTTTATTTTTTTATATTTGATCGTAACTTTCATTCTCATAATAAATTACTGCATATGGGTAATTCGATATATGCATGCAAATGGTGTCTCTTTTTTATTGATTTATATTTTCTTGATTATTTGCTGTATGTTTTAATAATAACAAGTACATGTGTATGTTGGAAGCGTTGTGTGCTGGCTACAGCGTAGATGTTGTTGTAAGACAGGAAAAAGAGTGGCGTGTGAACGGATGAGTCGACGATTTTTATATCTTGTAAAGTGGTGATCTTGCAATTAATCCAATTCTTTTCCTTATTCGCAATGGTGTTGACTCAACCCAACTGAAGAATATCCAGCACAAATCACACTCGCCGTCTTCACAAGACTGACACATCAGCCAGTCGACGCCATCGGAATCAATCGCAAAGAAAAATCGCCCATATGATCATTTTCAACCGATCTCAGTGTCTTGCATCTCCTTAGACCCGAGCTCTAATAATCCAGTACCGTGCCCATGCACCTCAAGATAACACCAAATGTATTCTTTGACACACACAATATGTTAGCCATTTAGCTACGCTCTCTCTTCGTCAAAGACGACATGCTTCCTTTTTGATTGCCAGACTGAGCAATCATTTGCCTCTTAACTCGATGTGGCAGCTGAACTACCAGCCACCACTTCACTTCAACGTCTTGTGCCTTATTTGCAGTTTCGTTATCCGTTGCCGGCTTGTCCGCGTCTTTCGTATATATCTGCATGAGTACAGTCCTCTCGTCACACGTCCTTTTAGGTTCCAACTGTATTACATCTTACGCATGTTACACCTTTCTCCATTGATGACCTACGTTAGTTGGTACATACTTCCGGCGTCAAGGATCTCCGAACAGACATGTTTTGGTGTACTGCCCCGTTTAAGACGTCCTTATCGCGTGTACATACCCGGGCGTCATAACTGAAGTGCTGGGGCCACCCACACACACCACGTTGTATCTTGAGCAAAGAATCGAGATCGCTGGATGGACTCTTCATTGTCACTTCGGTAGTCGATGCAACGGCGCGTCTCTTCGACATTAAAAGCAACTGCTGCGACAGAACGGCCCAACTGGCTCAGATATCGTCGCAACACGTCAACACAAGTTGACTTTCGGACGTAATTTTGTAAACCTGGTCCTGTGCTTTGGAAAGCCTTGAAGTTAAATTAGCAATTGTGAGCCCAGCAAAAGGGGGAAACAACTCCAATACGTAAGATGTAAACAGCATCGTACATGCAACTGTGACGCACCGTGACATGACCTGAAAATGCAAAGATCTCGCAAATACTAGCACAATGTGCAGTCGACCCTGAAGCGAAAGCTTCGGTAAGAACGCTATCTATGAATTGCTTGTGTGTCAAGGCTGCTCTTTTTGCGATACCGTGCATCTCGGCCAGTTGGTTGCGAAGTGTGACAGAGCGGTAAGATACCTGGGTATGTTTCAGGTTACAGACGAGTGCAGACAACGTACTTGTGGGTACAAAATCGCACGTTTTTTCATACATGGCCAACATAGGTCCGCGCTCGTCGCGACATCCTCATGAAGAGACTGCCATGAATCTGATACTCAGCCGACAACATGAAGTTGTTGCTCAAAAGGACCCGACGATGCGCCAATCGGCAAATGCATGTGACCAACTGTAGAGCATGTTCGTCCAGACACATTGATCATTATTTTTCTCCACAAGCTTTGCCGTTCACGGCCGACAAAACGTAAATTGCTTGTCTTCACCTCCATGATTGCGGCCGTGTCTTGCATTGCTACATGCACCAAAAGATTATCCCGACAAACCAACAGCGAAAGTACCAGAGAGAAGGGCAGGAGAAGGCTTCTATTCTATACGCCGCATGACTCATGATACGCGGACATGGGCGTGGCAGTCCGTCGATAGAATAAGCTCATGTAGCTTGTTTCGTTTTGTTGTAACGCAGTTGTTGTTTCCTTTCAACAGTCAGTGAGTATCTGCTCATCTAACTTGGGTTACAAAGGAGACAACAACGAGCCTCTGCATTTCACAAAGCTGACGAAAGCTCGCACAGCGGCAAATTCGACGAGCCGCCTCGGCACTACAGTCATCGATCTATAAAATGACTATGATGCCACTGATGCAGTTGCTTGACTCGGCAGATATGATGGTATCTGTTTATAGTTGCGCAATCTGCTAAGCGCAAATTGTCAGTCGATTGCTCCCACATGCTACGAGCTGACGGGCTGCATCATATCGGTATATATCACACGACGCCGTAACTATGTCCTACATCGCCATGCTGCTAAGTTATGACGCTGCGTTCATGCGACTTTTATGCAAAGGAAGCCGTGGACACTTCCTATGATTGCACTCCATGCGAACGAATAGAAGACCTAGTAGCTGTAGCAGATCCGGCGTTATGCCTTGAGGAAGCAGTAGAGCATTTTGTGTTGTGCAAGTGTCGCAGTGGTCAACACAGTAGTGGCTAACTATTTTCATTATTCTTAGCTTCTGTCTCCTTCGTGAGCTCGTTCTCATCATCCACGGGCAATTCTTCGGCTTCTAGCGCCTCCAACAGCTGCTGAAGCTGTGCCTTATGAGCATCTTTTGCTTCATCGTTGACCACGTCTTTCACACTTTCCTTCCTCGTCTCATCGTTGTCACTTGTGACAGCTTCATCGGCAGCTAGAAGTTTCAGTTGCCCGCGTAAGATAGCTGTCAAACTCGCACTATCAATACTGCGTTCGTGGAACTTGATCATTACGTAGGCTCGGAGTTTCTTCGAAAAGTGGCACAAATGTGCCACCACGAATGCGATGCGCTCTAACACGAACAAACCAGCGTCGAGACGTCGCAAGTACCGACTCTCTTCATCCTCCTCTCCGACCTCCATTTCGTCAACATGACTGCTACGTTCCACACGATCTTGATACTTTGCAAACAGATCCACCAATCGGTCGATTTTTTCCATATCGTTTTCAACAAACTTTGCATGGAGACGGTCATAGCCATCAGCAGGAGCATCCTTACGCACCCAGGCACACATGGAAGCTATCAAACTAGCCACATTTTCCTCCTGCAATGCACGCTCGTTCACCCTGTTCGATTTCGAGTTGCTACGCAACTTGTATTTGCCGAGCCGTCCCATGAAGACGGAGAAAACGCTGCGCAAACCTCCGATCTCGATCAGGCGTTCACAATTACGCACGTTGCCCATAAGTGCGTGATCCAGACCACGCAATGCGCCGCCAAAGACAAATTGTCGACGATCTTTCATACAGCGCAGCAGCAGCTCTAATCCTTCTAGGTGGCGGAACTGCGTCTGTGCTTCCGACACAAGCAGGGTACTGCATAAAGCATTCACCAAATTTCCCACCATTTCCTCTTCTTCATCACTTGCTGGATTTTTCTTCCGAAACGGAGCAAGTGCTTGCAGCAAGTCATCCATAAGATGCGCCTGACTATTTTTGCTGCTATTCGTCACAGGCTCTGCCTCTTCCTTTCGCCGTTCCTTCCTCGACCGCGCTACAAATTCCTCTCTTGGCTCTGCCCTCGACTGCAGCAGAATCGACAATATCTCACTTGCGTACAACTTGTTCTCACTAAAGCCCTTCGTCGGTGCCACTTGCTGCAAAAGAAACGGCAGCACTGCCGTCTTCGTCGCCACCTCCACACACACTTGGGGCTCGAGGTCCACTAGATTCTCCAAGATCTGCAGCGAACGGTACATGCCCGAAGTCTCTTCCTCTGCCTTCTCACCATCTTTCTCAACCACTGCTGCTAATTGGAACAAGTTATTGACCAGCAACGGCAGCAGCTCCTCGTCCACAAGATGTTGAGCGAGCTTTCTAGCTGGCTCCTGTGACTCTACGGCATCGTCCACTTCCGTCAGATCCGCCAATAGACTCAGCACAGACAGCTGGATGTCTACATTATCATGTGCAAACAGTCCCAACAGCACGCGAGGTACCTGCAGCTCTATCATGACGCCAAAGAGCTCGGGCTTGGCAGCCACCTGTTGCCAGCGCTTCAACTCGTGATCCAGTGCCAGCTCCGACTCGAGGAACTTGAGTGGATCGTCGACGTGCTTTTCCCGGTCCAACGCATTGCGCTGCACTTGTTTTAGCAGCGACTTGGCCCTCGACTTGAGCGATCGGGCGTCCAAAGCGTCGCCTTCTTGTGCTTCCGCGCCATCGACTACGGCGCTGATTTGCGCAGAAGTAGCTGTATGAGATACACGCGGTTGTTTAGCAGCTGAAGGTGCGATCGAAGAGACAGCGGGGCGCTTGACAGCGGCGGGCGCGGCGAGCACTCGCTCAAAGTGGCTCTCCATTTGTTTACGAGTGTTGACTGATCGAAATGGGTACAAAGGATGAGGGACGCGGACAACGAATCGCAAAGAAGAAGACAATTAATTAAATCGAGAATACGAACGATACAGCATTATTATCTCAATAATACTAATACTATCATTATTCTCACTAATACTATCATTTTTGACAGAGAAGATAATGAAACGTGACGCGCATCCATGCGGAGTGAAGCGCATGAGGGTATTGTGTAAAGCAGCGTGTCAGCACTTCAGCGAAGAGCATAGGAAGATGTGGAAAGAGATGAATGCACGAGAAGCCGACGCGGACGCGGTGCAGCTGCAACGTTATATGCTTGACTCGGTAGGCACAAATGACTGCCTAGTAATGGCAAAACCTTATTCGTACAAAGTATCATCATCTTCGACCACAATTAATGCATGTAATTGTTTTTCTCTTGACAGGATGCAAGTGCTGACCTGTCTCAGGAAACGTACCTGTGCCTGTTGTGCCATTTTCAAGGAGCGCGAGAATCGAGAAGACAGCACTTGCATGAGGCAGAAGATGGCAAAGATGACGGCACTTTTATGGCACACGCCATTCTTGCAAACCACCAAATCGGTAAGAAGGACGTTGATCGTTGACATTGCGCTCGGTCGTGATGACGCGAAGCTTGCTGCTGATGATATGTAAGCTCGTGGGTCGTAATCCTTAATGTGTGTTCATGCTGTGGCGTTGCAGCTGTGATGAAGAGAAAGCAGCAGCTCTATTGTGCAAGTTGCCAGGACTTTATTTACCCCGATGCAGCAGCTGTGGGTAATGGTAGTCGACGACGGAAGCGGCAGATGCGAGGTGTGGTGGCACCACCGCTCAAGTTGCTACAACGTGGACTAGTGAACATGGGCAACACGTGCTTCTTGAGCTCAGTGCTTCAGGCGTTGGCGCACAACCCAATGGTGCGACACTACTTTTTCGTGGCGAAGCGCCATGATATGGTGATCTGCCAGCAACAGAGACAACGGCTACTAGATACGCGACAGCAGCAACTGGACTCTGCGAAACACAAGCGACACGATGAAGAAGATGGAGGAGAGCAGGGAGGCACGAAAGGTGACATTGATCGTGCCATTTCTGTCTGTCTCGGCTGCGAGCTTGCTACATTCATGGCGCAGCTCGTACCTCCTGCTGCTCCTGTGCCGCGACAGTTGTTGAAGGCATCCCCAATTGCACCGCAAGGCATTCTAGAGGCGATGTGGAACGCGTTTCCGTCTTTCATTGGCACCGCTCAGCATGATGCACATGAACTCCTGATTGCACTCTTGGGAGGTCTGCATTCCCATACGCACCCTCGCGTGTTTGTGCACGGTGGCGCCTCTCCGCAGGTTACGCCACGTGGACAGAGTTTGTGCGACTGCGCTGTGCATCAACATTTTTCGGGTGTACTGCGATCTCAACTTGCGTGCGTAGGTTGTGGGTCTGCCTCGCACAAATTTGATCCATTCTTGGATGTGTCTTTGTCTTTGATTGATGGAACGAGCACAACTGGAGGAAGAGGAATGTCCAAAGGACACGAAAGAGTGGAGCTATCGTCCGAGTCATCATCTGCACTTAATCTTGAGTCGCTGTTATCGCAGTTTGCAGATAAAGAGGAACTACAAGGAGCGAATCAAGTGTATTGCCGTCGCTGCTCGAAGTATCAGAACAACTACAAGAGCTTGAACTTGCATGTGCTACCAAACGTGCTTGTTTTTCACATTCGCCGTCTCGACTTCTATCGCCAGCAAAAGCTTACGCTGAACGTGGTTTTCCCCCTAGTTGGTCTCAACATGAGACCGTATACGTCACTAGCCAATGACGAGGCCGACATCCGTAAAAAAGGGAAGTCGAATGGTTCCGTTCAAGGTGGTGATCGAAACGATTTCGTGTACGACCTCGTCGCAGTCGTCAACCATCACGGCGACTCGGTGAATGGAGGTCACTACACTACCTACGTGCGCGGCGAAATGCCCGAGGGTGCGACAAGTGTCATCAGAACGAAGGAACATCAGTGGATACTCTTTGACGATACCGAGGTGAAGACCGTTACCGATGCCGAAGTCGAAGGCTCCCAAGCGTATGTTGTGATGCGTACAGCTTTGCATGTTGTTGTTCGTCATGTTTGCCACTCATTCTTCTGCGTTCGTGCATAGGTACCTGCTTTGCTACGTCCGCCGGGACCCGTTCATCGCTGTCGCTGCATGAGCAAAGAGCATGAAACTGTGACCGTGTCGGGAACAGAGAATGTGGTGCACAGGCAATCTTCTCATGGATATAGTGACGATGCAATGATCTTGTGTGTGTGTAAATGCAAGAGATACAAGAGCGTGCTGATTGACGGATCGCTTAGTAGAAAGCCAATGGGCTGAATGCGGAAAGAAGACAACGTCTGAGCTGCTGCCATGTATGCAGTATCTGCTGTATCTGCATTCCGGCGTTTCAAGTTTTGAATCACACAGAATGGTTTGCGTGATCGACACGAAGCGTCCGTCAAAGACGATCGCCGATATGCTCGCTGGGAACAGGGAATGCACCTGCAGCAGAATCGCCGAGCGCAAGTGTGTTTGCAAATGGATGTTGAATCCGAAGATCGACATCAGGTTCTAGCAATGAAGGTGCACCGTGTTCGTAAACTCTGTTATACTTACAAATTCGCTTTTCGAGCGATCGATGGGTCAGTTTGTACGCATGCTTGATGGAAACAGCGGGTCATCGTCTACCTTTGAGAAACCAAAACTTCCTAATCCCCAAACCTGTTGTCTCGAACAATAGCAACGCCATCAGTCATTGCATACTACAACGTGTCGAATGCCGATTCTCCCAGGGCACAGCTCAGTGTCGAGAATTCGTCATTGCCTTTCAACTAAATGTAGGCTGTGTCTCGTTTGCACGAGTGTTGCTTATATATTCGAGCACCATATCGATTTGGTTTTCCTCCATCTACCTCGTAACACTTTACTGGTCCCACAAGCTTACTTCACGGCTAAATACCCCCTCGCCTTATCCTGTGCAAGATGAGGAGTGCATCGAAAGGTGGGAATGGCCATTTCGATCTTGTCCACTCGCAGTGGATTTCTGGTTACAGACATTGGTCTGTACCATCAGACCATCGATTGAAATTCCTCATCCGAGGTCTAAGTACCACCAGTAAATCGAAACTACGTGCTATATCTCGTCTCAATGCGTAGTTGCAACAACGTCATCCTGATTCTTGGACAAAGTGACCATATAATGGTACAATCATCGAAAGAGCTGTGGCTTACCAGAGTCCGAACGTCAAAATATGCATCTGAATAGTCCTGCTTGTCACTCAGTGCTGCTTATCTCCACAATGAAAACTGTGGCTACTCACTTCTATAGGTAACTCATTGTGGAGTCCTGAGGGCATCTCGCCTGATCGTGGAAAGCAAACATCGCGTGCTCAGCCAATAAGTGATACACTGTGTTACCTACCACCCTATCTCCTATTCTTCGTCGCACTAGTCTTATTAGCTTTTCCCCGCTCACAGGGTTGACGTCTTACATGCCATGATGGAAGAGCAAACAATATCGACAGCATGCATACCGATGAACAACGACTCGAGATACGAATACGAAGGACTGCAACTTAAAAGTAGTGTTGCAAAGATTCGAGGTGCTAGATGTGAACAAAAGAGCTCCATATAACCCACAACCTTTTCCGACAACACTGCGCGCATGTTGTTATTGCTGTCCATTTGCAATGGCGTCTTCGCTAGTCGTTTAGATCACCAGATTCATGCGGTGCGCAAACTATACCATCCGCTCGCTTTTCCGCCTGCGCCGCCTGTTGTCTTACAGTGTCAGCGCCAGCAGAGAATGGCACAAGAAAAATGCGATGCAACACACGCCAAGCAGAATCGCGAGCTTGTATTCTAAACAGCATCACACACCACGTCAACTATAAATCGCCAACTCCCAGTCGTATGGTACCAGCAGCAAGCCACGCACCAAGCAGCTCATCAATCGCAGCATCGCCCGTTTTCCACTTGACCTCGAGCTCTGCTGATATCGCGATGTAAAAGGCTTCCATGCCAGACAGCAAGCACAGCAGGCCGTTCCAGAAGAAACGACTTGTCACGGGGCTATGCGCTGCAAAGAACCACGTCACAACGATGCTCACGACGAGAGCTACAATCGTTGCCAGACCATCGGCTGCGTCGTATCGAAGAGATGCTATATCCTGCGTTCATACGACAACAAGAGCGACATCATAGTTGTGAGCTTCGCTCAGCATACACTTCCAAAACGCCAGTAAGACCACTGACACTGAAACCTGCCAACGGGCCGTCCGAGAGCATCGACGTCCTTGCATGAATAAATAGCAGGGTAATAAATAGCAGGAGCATCGCCATCCATAGGTTGAGTCCCAGGCCGATCGTGGTACCCACCACGCTCTTTACACCATCAACTAGCATCTCCCTCTTCGACTTGACAAGACCGCCTTCCAGGGGAATGGCATGTCGCAGCAAGTTCTTGTCGGCGCCACCACTCACCAAGTGTAACACTGGCTCACGTGTGTCGACTGGCGGCACAAAGCTCATGCCAGTGATAGCAAACGAGTGCTGCTCCATCGACTTTTTCTTGTACTCCTGCAACGTGGACGCCAGAAACACTTTGATCTCTCCCGTCACTGCTGCCGCACTCACGAATCGGTCGTCCTGACTCACACACAGACTCGCGACAGGCTTGTTGCCAGCAATAGCCGTTTCTTCCACCATCCACGACCATTGCTCCTCGTTCTCCTGTGCGATCGTCTCGGGCTTCCATTTGATCAAAATGGAGTCGCCACGAGCAGACGTCAGCACAGTGTACAACCGACGTCCAGTATGGGCAAAGCGTACACACCGAAACAAGTGTTTGCGTGGTCCCACCGTGGGCTTTGTCGGCAGTCTCTGGAACGCAATATCCAGCGCGTCATCTTTCTGGAACTTGCAAATCGGCGTCACTTCCGTCAGTCGCCATAGATGACACGATTGGTCCTCGGCACTTGACGCTACGAGGTTGCGATGCGAGCGATCCACGTCAATGTCGCGGATCCGCATCGTATGACCACGGTACTCCCTCGTCAGCGTCACCATATTGTCTCGATCGATCACACAATCGCCAAGCTTCGGCTGCTCTTCTACTGTCACTTTGGCATGGTGATCTCGCTCGTCCGGCACAATGAGAGCCTGGGACGAGCCTCCGTCCTTCTCACGCCTGGACGGGTCTCGTCGCAGCCGCCAGACACGCACAACTCCGTCTTCTCCACCCGTCAAAATGGTCGAATTGCCCACGAAACGAGCACAACTCTGCGAACTATCTTCGGGATGGAAATCCGAGCGAAACTTGACCAAGAGCGTCATGGTCTTGCTCTTCCAATCCAGAGCGTAGATCCAGCAGCCCGCGCTGATGGACACGGCAATGAGCTGTCCATCGTGCGAGAACGCGACGCCAGAGGCAAGTTCCACGCCCGTGTCGACCGTGAGTTCTTTCGTGAACCCCGTCGCGTCAGTGTCCGAGAGCTGGTAAATGTCCTATGGATCAATATCGATGGGCATGAGCGCATATGTGTGTACACATATTACAATCGAGAGAGGTTTCGTTCAGACACAAACATCGGCCACAATATCCATTATCAGAGGGACAGGTCACAAACAACGAGCCAGAGGTAGTCGTCCAGCGATCAAGAGTCAGAGAAAGAGAGACAGAGAGAAGGAGACACAACGTACGACGGTGTTCTTGATGCCAGACTTGAGCGAGCCACCGCCGCCGCAGATCGCAAAGAAGCCGCGGCCGTAGGATAGCCCCATGATCGGGTACTTGACCTGCATCGTTCACGTCGTCGTCTTGCCGGCGCCGGCGCTTGTTGACAGTTGGCAGCACTTTTTCGACAGGATATCACGTAAGTGAGGGGTGAGGTTTTTTATCTTTGACGCGCTGAATTGGGTACGAGAGTGAGGGAACGGACGAAAAGACTGAGACTCCAATAGAGCGCACGACTGAAGGAGGAGGAGTTTCATGATCATCTATTGACATATTTAATGTGGACAAGAGGTCTGAAAAATCCTGAGCCAGGATATGAGCGCCGGCCGCGGCAGCGGAATGTGGCTGACACCCGCGTAGGGCGGGTGTCCACGGGGCTCTTGAATCAGAAGTTCAAGACAGGCATGAAGTCGGGCCCCTCGTACGGCCGTAGCCGCGGCTCGATGCTCGCGTATTGCAATTGCCCGTAGCTGGCGAACACCGCGTGTCCAGTACATTTGGACACTTGCGGATGGAGTAGTCACGGCTCCTCTAAAGACCGCCGAGTTCCGCTCGGTCCACAAATGTTCTTGGCAGATGGAGCTTAATATGAACCAGATCCGTTCGAATTCTGTTGCTGCGGCGTCAGAGTCATCTTGAAAACGGCTTTGCAACCGCAAACTCAGCTGACGTGGAATGGGCGGGGCTTTGCGATTGGCGCAGTGCTGAAAGAAGGTGGAAAGATTTGCGTTCGTCGCACCCCCACCGGTCCAGTGTCCTATCAAGTGACACCAACACGCTTGCGCGATTGGGCACTCCCAGAAAATGTGCGCCGCTGTCTCTTTGCGTCCCCGGCAGTGCAGCACCGTACGACAACTGTTGTCCAGCGTGCGACCGGCATGGTATAGATTTAGCTGCTTTGTCGCGATACGATAGCATGTCCAGACTTGATACTCCGTTAGCCCGTTTGCGTGTTTCCAAACTTGGGAAGGCGTTTGATTTGATGCAGCTGACTGCCAACTATTCGATACCGCCTGCGCGTCATAGGCCTTCATCCAGGACTGGAGGCCAGGGTGCAGAAGGCGTTTATGAACGTGAAACGCTTGCTTCATAAGCGTTGTCCACACATCTACATTGGCCACCGTCTCTGGCACACTCCAAGGTAAACGGTGAAGCTCCGGGTGGGCATGAAACACCAAGGTACGATGGTGCGAATGCTCCCAGTAGTTAGACACTTGCTGAGGCGACCCCCGTAATTCTGGTAAATTCCCGTCAATCGACCAATGGATTCCATTGACATCTTGGCGGAGGCGAATCGCCGAGTTCGCGGACTCGACAGGGTCCCGACAGGACCCGACAATTAAATCTGCTCGCACCCGGGACCAATTATAAGCGCGCCGAAACGGCGGTGGATGACGTAAGACGAGCCCGGGCTCTACCGGTCCCGCACCGACAGCAAGGTGGGGTGACGAGAGCAGGATCGAAGTCGCCCAACGTTGTAATTTACAATGCATATGCCGAGACGAAGTACCGCCGAGAGACGGGAACGTAAATTGAAATTCATGTGACCCCAGTCGCCGAATGCACAGACTGCGCAGTAAACATGGAGGTATCCGGGCATATTTGGCCCGCTCTAGGGGCTTGCCGTCTGGCCCTTAAATCCAAGGATTGCCATCCCAGTGAAAGCGGCCCCAGAAAGCGGCTAATGTATCCATCCGGTGATCAGCAACAGCGGGATGGTCAGGAAACGTTTGATGGTATGAAATTAACCATTCGTCACCGTCCCACTGACTGCTCGCCCCGACAGACATACGAGCGTGATGCGCGTCTAATCTGGCCCGAATCGACAGCACTTGTTCAGGGGAGGGTGCTAGGAGCCGTTCGAGATCCTGCGCCAGAGAGGAACGACCAGGTCCTCGCCTGATGTCAAACGTTGTTGAAGCAGACGGATGGAGCGCCGGGACGAGAGCCGATGTGGAACCTCCCACGCTATATGTCCAGCGCCGCCATGCTGTAAAATATTTGTCATGCGGCTGCGTAAGCCAACGCAACGCGTGCTTCGTCCGCTGAGTTTTGACGGCTACTTCGAACGAGGCCAGACCAACCCCGCCTGCCTTCTGGGGCGTAAAGAGGAGACCCGGGTTAATTTTGTGCCGACGTACGGCAGGCACAGAAGCGTGCGCCCACAGGAATTGGCGGTACAGCCGAGATATAGAGCGCACGACTGAAGAACGTTCGCTATCTTTCGAGTGGGGATAGAAAAGCTGAATGTGGTGGAAAAGGCATCGAAAGTACTGAGGTGTTGTGTCTCGTATGGACGTGTCTCACACAGCTTCTGTTTGTTTGCACATCTCGGGAAGTTTCGGTGTATCGTCATGACATCGATGCGAGTAAACACATGCTGACCATCACTTTGAACGCCAGAAGGTAAATGGAAGAGGGCATCCGGTGCAGACAATTTATGAACGACGATGGCGGTCATGGAACGAAACATAGACAGTCAGACACAGCTAAGCGCCTGCACGAAAGCGCTGAGTAGACAGCTCTTCTTTTGTCATGCAACTTGATATCACTGGGGATGTGATGTAAGCGCTTGATGGGGAGGGATTGCTACAATAGCATGCATCTACCGTGCAACGTCGCGCAAGCTCACACTGTCAGAGTGCACGAACGTTTTCAAGAGTTGCAGTTGTCAATACGAGCGCATTATGAGCGCTGCGGCGTGTACAGCATTGCGTCCAATGTCTTGAGTAGCCCGAACTTCTATTCGCACAGAGGGTCCGACTCACTAGGGCATGAGAATAGGTGCATAGTCGTTATCTCGCCATCCATTGCTGCTTGTACAGCTTTATTGCAATCGCAAGGGGTTCAGGCTGGGAAACCAAGTGATCAAAGTTGACCACAAGGTCTCTGCCGCTTGGCCAGCAATTTGTTGGCGACGATAGCGAGCAGTTGGGTCCGTAGTCGCTATACGTTCGAATCTCTCACTACGACGCTCCTCAGCACTTGCCGTTCTATCAGAAGTGTTACACGCTGTCGTTCTTCGGATACGCTGGTCACATCGTTCACGAGCCTAGAGAGCCCATCCAAGTGGCGTCGAGTTGCCAGAAAGGTCGTGTGCGTAGAGTGCTCTCTCTGTCCCACGATGCATGAACGGTCTTCTCGTGCATGTCTGCGCTCTGACTGCACCATGAATGTGTAGGGGTCGTAAACGGTTCGACGACAGTGACTACAAGCTGACACACAATTGATCCAAGAGCACGAACGTCGAGTTCTTGCGCGTACAATGCGACACAACTACTGACACTGAACTTGCCGACTTGTCCATGGTGATCGCGGGATACTCGTCAGCACTATACGTATGTTTCGACGTGCGGTCACTGTTTACTGGCACCGAAATGGCTCCGGCCATCGAGTAGCGGCGGTTAGTGTTCGAAAAAGTATCTCTTGTCTTGCATGTTCCATCACCGGTCTACCTGCGGCGTCAAAGGAGAACTGCGGTCTGAGACTAACTCACAATACTGTTACTCACGTGCTTCATCCCAGACAGTGCGGTATGCTGTCAATACTGTTCTTCTTGTGATCTTCTCTACGAGCGACTTCGACAACACTACGTTGTTTTCCGTACGATACGTGACATTGTATCTCACCAACATACTGCAATAGCTCGTACAGGATGGATCAGAAGGGAAATCAACAACGTTTATTCTGTCTCTTTTGCCAGCTTTGTCAAGCTGGGACTATGAAAGGTGGGCGTGGCAATCCTGACACAATGACGGATCCAATCGTCATGCTGCCTACTGCCCGTACCTCCTTCGGCCTCTTCACTTACGTGCGACGATCGTGAACGCAGTAAATGGAATCAAGGTCGGACAGGCGTCAACGACTACATCGCCACTTGTCGTTGTCGCAGCAGAACCTTCCTCCGAGTATGTGTTTTTGCGACTGTCTTCTTCAATCAGGTTCATCAGCGTCGCTTCTATCTGCTCCTTCGTGAGCCTCTTCAAAAACTCGGTTACATAGGGAATGTCCGCGGTTGCCTGTGCCAATGCTTTCAAGTCGTCAAACACAACCGTGTGTGCCGTGCAGTATGACTTGGCCTGCCGGAACCCCGCAGCTTGTAGCTCCTTCAGCACCCTCTCGCATTTCGATGCTGCCGTCAATGACGGAAGCGGCAGTGGCTCTCCATCACCTCCTGCAGCATTGAACATATCGGTGAGCTTATCAAACCATATTAAATGCGAACTCTTGGCGCCCCACGTCGTGATGACCAAAAGACCGTCGTCTTTCAGCACGCGATGAGCTGCTGCCCACGCTGAGGTGCGATTGCCGATAGCACTGATTCCAAAAGTCGAGCCGACGGCATCGACCGATGCAGTCGGAATGCTGTCCAGTTTCGTTCCGTCTGCTTGCAACGGGGTGATCGCGGCACGGAACGGACGTAACGCGGCGTCGTCTTCCAGCGCATTAGTCACTTGCTGCAACATTACGTCCGACCAATCCGACGCGGTAATGCGTATGTCCGTCTTCGTATGGAGATATCGACGTGCGAATTCGAAGCTAAGGACTCCAGGGCCACAGCAAACGTCCAGGAAGTGGAAAGGAACACTCGACTTTGCATTGTGTTCAATTTTCTCGCGAATGTCACGGTGCGCAATTTGCAGTGCGTCGGCGGCCCAGAACTGACTCATCGGACCGAAGACCGAGCTATACGTCGTTGCATGTGCAGACCACTTGGCATCCGCATTAGCCTTCTCCATTTGCGATAAGAGTCAAGATTGCGAGTCGCGATATGGGGGAATGCCTGGAAGTTGAGGAGTGAGTCGGTTGCTGGCTGGGTGGAGCTGGGTGGAGCTGGGTGGGAAAAACAGGACTGACGAGCAGGAGCACGTGTCACGCGTGCACTGGTTCACTCTGGCTGCGTGATGACGTTTACGTTGGCAACATTACGAATCAGTAAATGTATAAATGGGACAGATTGTGGCGTCAACAACGCGACGATCGATGTGATTGCTGGTTTGATTGTGAGACAAAGCGAGAGGGCAGAATGAATGGAGACGACGAAGAAAAACGCCACCCGAGCTACTCTAGTGGCATCAATGTGTGCTGGACACGCCATGCAGATAACGCGCTTTTGCATTTCCGGCGATCCAAGCGCCTTATCGTTGAGAGTGCATTTGCCCGTCCGCTTGCTTGAAGGTACTGGACGCTCACAACGACACCACGGCCAGAGGCGTGCCGAAAAGGTCCCGTGATATCCATCGGCGGGCGGCATCACGTGCAATCGCATCGCAATACCCTTTGGAATCGTTAATATCGTGTATATGGTGGAGAGGCGATAGCAGCTTGCTACTCGTTGCAATCGCCGCTGTCTGACAAGGACAAGGCTGGGCAGTTTCACCACCCCCAAGCACTACTGAATGCTGGGAGACTCGTAGACTTGCAGCGTCGCACTTGTAGAAAAACGAGCGCCTTGATACGACAGAAGTTCAGAGACAAAACGTTCGCATGCCTCTCAGTCGAGCATCACGGCACCGCATGTACTACTACAGAGGTACGTGTCGTGACGGACGTGGTTGCTCCCTGTACACATCGAGCGAGTCCAGCCAGTTTGGGTCTCTGTTTACCCGTAAAAAAGTGGGTATTTTATTTTCAGGAGTGATAAAATGTTGGAAGCAAACGCAAGAAAAGTCCCACGTAACGAAAAGAGCCGCTGGACGGATGGTCAGTATGAACAGCAATCTCGCGTCCGTTCTATCCTCGCAGAGCGCATGCCAGTGTTTACGATCCCATCTCCTCGCATTCCAGTGTTTACGATCCCAACCCTTCATGACTCGCAATTTCTCCACGTTCCATCGTCATGGGCTGTGTATCGCCCCTTCTAAGCGCTTTTCGTGCCGACCCCTCTCGATCGTGTCGAGTTCAGCTGAGCAGTTGAACCAAAGACGCCATGTTCCTTCTTTCGCTGCTGCTCCGGTAGATCTCCTCGCTTCTGTGGGGAACACGCCGCTGCTTGAACTTACGACTTTGTCAACGCTCACGGGCTGCAAACTATTCGCCAAAGCCGAGTACACAAATCCAAGCGGCAGTATCAAGGACCGTGTGGCCAAGTCGCTCATTCTCGATGCAGAAGAGCGCGGTGTGCTTGAGCCGGGAGGAACAATCATTGAGGCTACAGGAGGCAGCACGGGGGTCTCCTTGGCCTTGCTTGGAGCTTCTCGAGGCTACAAGACCCAGCTGACAATGCCGGATATCACAGCGAGCGAAAAGGTGCAGATGATGAAAGTTATGGGTGCACAAGTACATGTGCTGCCGACGACATGCATGTCGGACAAGAACCACTTCTTTCATGTCGCGCGATATCTTGCAGAGACAACGCCGAACGCGTACTGCCCGGACCAGTTCGACAATATTGCCAACATGCGGGCGCACTACGAGGGCACGGCACCTGAAATTTGGACACAGGTTCAAGGAAGGATTCACGGATTCGTGACGTCAGCTGGAACGTCGGGAACGATCGCAGGAATGTCGAGATTTTTTAAGGAGCGTAACCCGGATGTGCAGGTGTGGCTCATTGACCCGGAAGAGACTGCGGCCATGTCTGCGTTTGTCAACAACGGTCGCTTGACAAGTACGATGGAAAACGGATTCGAGATTGTGCCCATGGCTAAAGGATGGACCATTGCAGAAGGTGTCGCTGCGCTGTCGCATGTGACAAACAACTTACGCGAGTCGATCGTTGATCGGGGGATTACTGCTACGAATCAGGAGATTGTCGACATGAGCTACTTCTTGCTGCGAAACGACGGCATTTTCGTAGGGCCTAGCAGCGCGCTCAATGTTTTGGGAGCGGTAAAGATGGCGCGTGAGCTTGGTCCAGGCCACACTATCGTGACGATCCTGACCGACGGCGGTGTTCGCTACGGCAGCAAACTGTATAACGAGGCATGGCTCAAGGAACACAACTTGCTTCCTCAGGAAGCTGAGGCCAAGAAAGGCTCATTGCCACTGGACTTTGTGGGAGGGGTCAAGTATCCGATGACAGTCTAGGGACAGCTGTACCTCGTAATTGAGCCACCATCACTTGTTGTTACAACTATCGAATGCTGTGAATAAAAATGAGACTGGCGATTGACAAGTCGTCGAATGTACCCCGTCGATGTTTTCTGCAATGGTATGCGTTGGTTATGAACTGTGGATAAGAGGGTCATTACGCCACACCGCCTTAGAGCAATGAGACCCCCATCCAAGTCGCGCTCTCTAGACCACGTGCCAAGTGGCCGACCTTGACGTCAAAGCACCTACGCTCTTTCATCGTATGAGAATCATGTTTGTAGGCATGTAAGCGTCCGAACCTTTTTCGAAACTTCATGCAGACTCACTTATTCCGGCTGACGAGAAGCTACAAAAGATAAAGACCGTGAAAACCAAGCCCATGCATTGGCATGGTAGCAAGCAAAATCGTGTTCTGCATGTAGCTTAGCAGCTTGCACGGGGCTTGCTTGCCGTCCAAGGTAGTTTGACCAACGAGCGATAGGTAGCGTCACTGGATCGAAATAGCTACAGAGACACATGCGTAACATAGATGGGAGACGAGACTTGCGAAATAATTCGCTTAGCAGATAGATACATGCTGAAGTACCAGCACTATAACCATAGATGCCAAAGCGAACCGTTCATACGTCTCGATACCGATTAGCAAACTTGCACAGGTCGCAAAAGCTGCCTCGTTTGCTCTGTAAGTCAGGTGACAAGAAGATCATAATGACCATGTTGCCGAAAGATACGCTGTCGTTTCGAAGTGGTGAAGCGTCACCGCGTGCGATGAACAAATGACGCGAAACGCACACCAAGTAGCGCTGTGTAGGCAACAAGTAAGCTATGATTGACCCAGTTCTGTTTCATACTGCTACAAGATACGTTCGTTGATACAGCACGATTGGATGGAAGCGATGCAACCGAACGATGTGTTGATCATTGTGATAATGGCGTTTGCGAAGGAAGCAAGTAGGTTAGCATGAAAGCGCATAAGGTCATGTACGGCTATAAACTGCTGTGAGATGGCGTGTCGTCTATTTTCGCACCGAATGGCGACGACACCTTTGTAGATCTTTGTATCGGGCCACATCTGGCAATAGCCCGTGAAGCTTGTTCGCGTCGATGTTTGCTGTATGTAGCCTGACGTGGTCATCATGAGCTGGAATGATGTAGGTAGCAGCACGACGATCGAACCCTGTGTGAGACCACTGGTCATGCATAGTAATGCAAGCAGGGTTGACAAGTCACTTGTCCTGTATGCGATCGAATCGTGTGTATGGCCAAACAATCACGTGCCGTCGCTCCACCCGAGCTGCCAAAAAGCAAGTGCCCATTGCGTGATTGCTTCATCTGTCTTGTACCGCAATGCATCAACAATCGATTTTGTTCAAATATGCCATACTGGCCACTTTACGAGAACGAGTCATGCGCATGGGCGCCGTTTTGCTTCATTTGAGCCAACGCGGCTGTAGTAGAAGGTGCTCATTCTTGAACTGTGGTACGTTTGTATCCGTCCGTCTCTCTACAAACCAATACAGTGGCAACACGTGACACGTGTGTACTATGTAGCGAAACGCTCGTGTGCACAGTCGAGATGCTAATTCATGCTATGTCTCCAATTGTCCAGAGCAACGACGTACGACGAGTGTGTACTGGCATAGTGTCGATATTCATATCAGCTCTGGTGTGTCGTAAAAAGTTGTAGCCACTGGGACGAATCGCTCGTCCCCTCTCATATCGACTCGAACAAGTATCCATCATTTCTGCAAGGGGTCTCAACCGATGGGTGCGTACCCTCGTCGCGTACCAGGTTACACGTACCCATACCACCGACCACAACAGTGGACCACTATAAACGACCATACAAAAAATGACGAACGCTCGGCGCTTGGCCCGTGACGTGATTACGTTCGGAGACTTCTCCGTGGAGGAGACGCGAAGGGTCTTCGAAGACGGTGCGTGCCACTACAATTGACTCTATGCAGCGAACTTATTCATCCGTGAGCTGACACATATGCATACCCTCTCCTCTGTCTCTGTCTCTGTCTCTGACTCTCTCAATCGATTTATCTCTCTCTTTACGTCTCTCTATTTCTTTATCTCTGTGTTTGTCTCACTTATTTGTGCAGTTGATGCAGTGGAGAAGAACGTTCAGGTTGTCGCGTTGGTCAAGGAAAAAGCCGCTCCCAAGTCGTGGGCTGACGCGGTGGGCGCTGACAAGATCCAGTCATCACTAGAAAGAAGTGGAAGTGTGACATCGTGGCCCATTGCAGCTACTAGCGATATAGAGTCAGCAGCCACAAAGGTAGCGAGGGATCCAAGTAAGCCGGTGGGATTCGAGGAGGTGATTCAGGAGACACTACATCATCTGGACGTATCGGCACCAGCTAAAGAAATGAAGAAGAGGTGAATGAAGATATGCAACAAAAGAAGAAGGGAAAAAGAAAAGGGATGAGAGTTGCTGATGATTGCCTCGTCGTTGTTGTTGTTGTTGTGGGTTCATTGGTTGCATGCAGAGGTTTGGTGAATCAAGGCAACACATGTTTCCAGAATGTCATCATGCAGTCCGTGCTGGCTTGTCCGCCATTTTTGAAGTGAGTCGTTTTGTGCTCGAATGCTGTTAGATTGTTTGGTTTGCGTGCTCATTGTGTGTGCAGTCTGTTGGTCGAGATTTCGACTGCTAGTCCTCCAACGACGACAATGCTGGCGAGTACATCGACGTTCAAGGCGTGGCGACACATGGTGGCATTTACGCGTGAATTTGAAGAACCGACGTTGGCTCAATGTACGTTGAGCATTGCTATTATCGCGTATTGGTGGCGCTAGGCGCTGGAGATAGTGCTTGATGACAGTGCATGCTTTGGAAATGTTTTGATTGAGCAGTGCAGCTTCAAGCCAGTAGGGATGACCGTAGATTCAACGACATGCATGGCAAAGCACCACAAGCAATTCGAATCAGCGGGTACTTCATGGACGTGTTGAGTGCTTTTCAGAAGATGCGCGGAGAGCAGGAAGATGCACTGGAGTTTCTGGAGTTTTTCTTGGAGTATTTGCACACAGAGTACGAAAAGAGTGGCCTACGGTTGCCTGCCTCTTGTGAAAAACAGACAAAGCGGTCTCCTGTGACCAAACAGAATGGGGTTGGTCTGGACGTGGACGTCAAGAGCGCTCAAGCGTTTGACGACGGTTGGGCAGAGGTTGGTAAGAAAGGAAAGAGTAGCGTGCTACGTCAGAACCCCGTTGATACTGTTCGCTCGCCGATCAATTGGTTGTTCAAGGGTGCACTGCGCTCCGAGCTGAAGCAAATCGGCAAGAGGCAAAGTTCCATTACTGTCGAGCCGTTTCACTGCTTGCACTTGAATCTCGATTACGAAGCGCAAGACCCGTCACTTGGTACAAGCGAGAACGGCATGGCTAACTCACTTGACGCGTCGATTACTGTTGAGGAGATGATTCGCAAATCATTTGACGTCGAGGTCATTGAGGACGCCAACCAGGTGCCTACAATGAAGAAGTACACGACAGTGGAATCCCTTCCAGTTGTGCTGACGCTGAGTGTAAAGCGTTTTACGTATCATCCGGAACAAGGGCCGGTCAAGTTACAGCAGTTTGTAAAGTACCCGCGTTTTCTGGAGTTCCCGACACAGCTCATGTCAGCGGCTTGTCGTGCGGAGAATGGATTGAACTCCTCAGGTGCTGCGCCCGTCAGTGGTTCCGGCGTATTGACTCTCCCGATGTACGAGTTGTTTGCGGTCGTGTCGCATCTGGGCAAGTACGTTGTGGGAGGTCACTACACTTGCGTTTGCCGCGACAACAAAGACCAGTGGTTCCGTTACGATGATGAGCATGTGACGTCTATTTCAGAGGCTGCGGCGCTTAGTGAAACTGCTTACTTGTTGCTCTATATCCGAACGAATAAACGACCGCCTGAACTGGTCGTGGCACCAGCCTCGCATTCGAGCTCAGCATGTGTCAAGGCGACGAGCTCCAGTGGTTCAAGATGCACAAACAGCAACGGCACTGGCAAAGTTTCTGGTGGATTGAAGTGGAAACAGACCGCGGCTTCGCCATCATTACTGACTTTAGCGCCTCGACCTATTCCCGGCATGTCTCCGATCAAACAACCCGTGGCAACAACTTCGAAGGCAAAGAAGGCTAGTAAGAAGAAAGCATGAGGGATCGATAGCAGGCAGGGTAGTGAGTAGCGCTGTGCTCGGGTGCTTAGATGAAACAGTTCATACGGAAAGTAAGTCACTTTAGCCATCTCGTATTCTCGAGATTAGCTGGACGACAAGTGGCATTCTTGCTGCTGCTTCGCACAAAATCTTGAACATCCACCACCACCACCACAGACTCGTATACGAATTCAGGCACACAGAGATTTCGTTATCGCTCAATTACAGCCGATCTGCACCAGTTGCAAAGTCATTGGATCGTTGATCTGGTAGAAAAATTAGAGGCAGTTTGCTCAGAGACGGCGGATCTGAAAGTAGCACGGGAAGGACTAAGTAGTGCTGCAACTATTGTCATTTTTGTGTCAAACAATGCACCCCAATTGTCCCTCAATTGGCTCAGAGCAATTTCTGCGGGACGACAACACATTGCACTCACATTGCACTCATGGGATTGACTACAGTTACCAAGGCACCGAGGACGTCAATCTGTATTATTAGTGTATGAAGCAAACAATCTGTGCAAAGGGCTGGCGAAGGTGAGGCTGGCTTGAAAAGAGACATGCTGTTTAGCTTACAGTGGTTGACTAAAAAATGCGAAGTGGAAGCAGCAAGTAGCAATATCAAATAGGAATTTGATAATGTAGTGCTTTTCTATCGTGACATAATCAGTATTGATCTCGAGTTGTACCAAGGTATAAGAGGGCGGTAGGAAAGTGAGTCACTCATCAAAGGCACCTGAGTACCATTCCGAATGGTGTTGATTCCCGAGTTGCGATATAACCTAGCTGCAATATTTTTACAAATTTGACCACGGTCAAAGACTTGACTATGATCCAAGAGGTCGATGCCTTGTCTCGACTGACACGGGCCCATATATTTACTCTTCCAACGCAAAAACTCTTTACAATAACATGCTCTGTCTTGTTGCCAAGAATTTGCAAAGCGCGTGGATTCTGACTTCTGCGAGCATCTTGACTAATTGGCCAGCACAATGCGCAACGCGTCCCAACCCATGATGTATCTATCTTTTCAAAACAGAGACTACGATCATTTTGAATCGGCACGAGACAATCTGTGACAAAATCCGGAAAAGTCTTACACGTGTGGTGCGCAATGACTACTGATCAGAGTGATTTTCCATCACGGTATCGCCTCCACCGGACATCACTCTTTGCTTACGACGTACATGTTTTTCCACAGTATACATCCGTTACGCAGCACCACTTGTATTTGCTTACACACATGGTTAACACGCAACAACTTCGTCTTGCAAGCAGTATTTGCAGAACTTCAATTCCGTCGTATTAAGACATGTGATATGGTTTTAAATGCTACAAAAAGTTCATTTTCAAAAGCTGTTCTTGCGCTGATTTCGCCAATTTTTATTCATGTAAACAAACGAGGGTCTGTAACAGGAGGCGGCCTTATGCACAAGGCTAGTGATGGTGCAAGTACAGATAATGGCTTACGCTAAGACTCCATCCAGTATGGGCACTCAACACTCGTTTGACCGTCGAACCGTCCGAGACGAGGACACAGCGAAAGAACGATGAAGCTTACCGCCGTGCATTGGCTGCTCTGCGCCTCATCGTGTGTCACAGGATAAATCGCGTAAACGATTTACATACACACGAATGTGCGTGCAGCAGGACTTGCGCATTCATCTCGTGAGGCCTGATCATGGGAAACATGTCGGTATGCGTGCGATATGCATCCGTTTTTACTGAATGAGAGCACGGTGTTGCAGACTAACGCAAAAATTTGAACGTGGGGCACCATGTATCATGAAGATGCATTGACCTGCCTACAACACTCATAGAAGTTGCCATCATGATCGACCTGTCTGCGCACAGTCAATCACCTCCCGAAGAGGACATTTGGCAATCAACTTTCAAGCTCGAGAAGCATATGCGCTGAAATGCATAACTGATAGCAAACAACGTCAAGGCTAACATTGAGCGCGTGCATGTTTCACATTGATAGACCCACACACGTCAAGACACGAAATACATGAAGAAGAGGGAGCGGGGTGTAGCACTCACGACTCGCACGTTTCGTATACGTGCACGCCCTCCACCTCGATCTATCAGTCGACCGAAAAAGCTTTACACATGCAAAACATTTGCAAAACGTGGTACGACGGTGTCGAAACAACCATACACATTGTGTATGTTGCACCTTAACAAAACACTCGTCTCCTCGCAATGACTACAGCTAGTCATCGAGACAACATATAGCGATATTCATGTCTATGCGTATGTTTATATGACCGCACGTCGTTAGACCATACAGGCGAGTGCATCTTACTGATTCTGTTGCACACACCCAAAACGTACGCTGTTGCTGAAGTCTGGGACTCTAGCGCGGATCGTCTTGAGCCGTGCCATATACAGCGATCCACCAAGATGCAGTGACACATTGTTTCACTTTTTCCGTCGATCCAAGTTGAGGTCGAATGTGACTGCAGCGCGAGCGGGCTGCAGTTCAGGCAGGCTTTAATCGTATGTGACACTCCAGTTGGCAACGTCGATATCAAAGTACACGAAGCGATAAGGATCCGGTAGATCCTACGATGATGGCTAAGGGCAGCTGCTCACGATCAGGTCAATGACTGGTGGAATATCGCCTTCCCACGCAACACAGCAGCTCCTGACACACCACATACTCATTTGTGCCGTTATGGCACATCGATCGGGTCAAACGATGCGCTTGTCGAGTCGTGCGATAATTCATGAGCTTGCGGTAACCGTCACTATAATCTATCGGTACAGTATTCGCTGTAGTGAACGTCGTTATATCTCGTCGCGCGAATATGTTGGGATTGTACCTCACATTACAACCCCATCCAGCACGCAGGATCGTGCTGCACTCGAGCGCTTCTGTTCGAAATCATACGTACAAGTGCCAAACGCATCCTCCCATATTGCTGCAAGATTTATTCGCATCATGCATTCGCGGCCACGGGTTGAAGACATGAGCCATGAATTGGCACACAAACGCTATTGTGAGGACGCAAGCCTTATTGATCGAGACACAGAAGTATGGGGCAGAATGAAGATGTCTTAGGACGGGACACAGCCTCGCTTCATTGGACACGAACGACGATATCTTCCGTTCACTAATAATAGTATTGGATCAACAGAAGCGTTTGATGTAACGGGGCACACCCTTGCGTAACTTAACGCAAGGGTTTTGAGTGCCCCGACAGACGTACACGTGGCAAGCGAGGAAGCGTAGGTAGGGTAAAAGTAGAACTGTTATAATAATAAATTAAGTCTTTAAACTACTGTCTCTTCGTTTGACTTAATTCAATTATACTAATAAAACTGCATGTATGGTGACGTCTCGTCACCACTCATTGCGCGCGTCTTGCGGCGATTGGTGGGTTGATATCATCACGATATCAACCAATGAACAGACCCTTTAATCGGCCCATCAATATCACCACTTTGGTGATATTGTTTTAAAGAATATCCATCTTTATATTCTTTATTGTCACTTTGCTTGAAGTGACAATTTCATGTAACGGGCTGCCCCGTTACATCACCCCCCTTAACTGATAGTCACGGTGTGACTATCGAAAACATGGAGGCCACCCGTTGGCCATTATTGGGACAGGGAGCACTTGTTGGGTCCGTTCCATTCACTTTTCGCTTGACCTCGCATAGTTAACATGTCTATGCGAGGTGACTCAAGACCCACACAGCCTGGTGCTGTGCAAGCCTCTGCGGCAGACGCTTCGTCGTCTGCCGCCCCTTCTTCGCCTGCAGCAACAGGTGCTGCAGGTGCACGCGGTATCACACCGCGTGCGCACGATGACCCTGATGTAGAGGTCATCTACTCTGGCGAGTCAGACGTGTCTGACTCGGGCAATGCTTCAGAGGCGTCTCGCTCACCGGCGACGCCTCAGTATTCGCCAAGACCGCTGCCGAACGAACGGACTCGTGATTTGCATCACAGTCTGTTCGGCAGTGATGATGATGATGATCAGGGTGGTGAGTTCTATTCTTCACCACCGCCGGATCGTGCGTCTTCGCACGAGCGTGATGACGATGGCGCGAGCCGTCGTCAATCTGGGAGCCGTGGTGCCGACAAGGGTACCACTGTGAAGCGTGATGAGTTGAAGCCGTGGCGTTTGCCCGAACAACTCATCAATAGCCTGTCTCACGAGACAGGCCAACACCATCGAATACCCTTATTCGATGCAACCGAGCTTCACGGCTTGAGTCCCAGCGCGAAGAACTTTCGCGCTGAAGAAGATTTTTATCTCGATGTCTTTCTTAGACATCGATGGTACAACAGCAACCAAAAGCGTGACAAAACATCGCTTTTGGCTGCGTGGAACGCGTTCGTCCAAAACGTAAAGAATTTTGGACGAGAAGGGTGGCTCAAGAAACTTGAGGCAACACGCCTCAGGTTCGAACGGCGAACGCCAACCGGTGCTAGGTACCGGTTGCATTGTTTATCGAGTGAGGCAGGCATTCCTTGCCTCACATGGGGATAACCTTGTGCGAGTTGTGTTGACAACTCGCAGCGTGCACATAGGGATGTGTACTCCCTAAATTCGCCCTGGGGAAGGGCACACATCTCGGCTGAGATGCGTGACGCGATTGCAAACTTGCAATCCGTCTACAAGCGCCTAGGGCGCGTGTTTACCGATGGGCCACAGGACTCATCGGATGGGTCTCGTCATACTGGCGGACGAGACCTTCAACATCCATCAACAGCTGAGAGCGGGGCTCCCAGCTGTTCCAAGAGGGTGGATACCCCCGCCACTGGACGAGGTAGCTCGTCCTTGATCCTGAATCGTCACGGTGATTCAAGATACGCTCCACTAGAAAGCGTTGATCACCGTGAGCATCCACCAAAGGATGTGGTGGAGGAGGAAAGACCTTCTCCAGATGATTCTGTTCACCATCTCGACCCTTACGAGATGGATCGCGCAATCGATGAATTGCGCGATGACTTGTAGCACGAGCGCGATCGGCGCTACGCTTTGA